GCCACCCACCACGCTGGCCGGGAAGCACCCCGGTGGATGCTGAATCACCTCGGCTCCTGCATCATGCCTGCCTGCTGCAGCGTCACTGCTGCAGGACCCGTTCTCCAACAGGCAGGAAAAGGCGTTTTTCCTCGGCAAAACGCCACGTAACCGCCACCTCCGAGCTCCAGCACTGTCCAGGCACTGAAGCCAGAGCCGTGAGGGGATTTGCTTACCTTGATCAATCCTGGAGAAGGAATTTCCAGCTCAACAGTGCACATCAGTCTAAATCCATCCCCCCCCATTTTCATGCTTTAAAAACGTCCCGACTTCTCCCTGCTCTCCCCTCACTGCCATTTTGCTCCATGTAGTTTGTTGTTGTCATGAGCAAACCCGTCTTTCCAAATGCCTTTCCTGGAAATGTTTGCCACGGGCTTGAAACTTCCCAGAAAACTCCTACCATGAAAGGAAACCTCTCGCAAACCCCCAGCTGCTCACAACAAAGGGCACGGAGAGGTGAGAACAGCCACCGGGCACGGCTGCGGGGACGGAGGGGTTTGCGTGCTTTTCCAAGGGTGTTTTGCTCCAAACTAGGCTTCCTTCCCAAACCACTCCAATATTTGTGGCTTTTTCTCTATTCCTCTTATAGACAAGCTGCTCAGCTCCGGTTCCTGGTGCCAGATGCTGCTGGCTGTCCTCACACCCGATGGTGTTCCCAGGGAAGGGACACCAGGGTGGAACGTGGAGGGGAGGCAGAGCTGGGAGTGCTCCCACCGAGCACAGCTGTAATCTTTTCCAGCTGCCGCCGCACCGGGCCACCAAGGGAGGGAGAAGAGGGGAACAACAGGAAAATAACTCTGGTTATTTGCCTCAAATTCTGCAACTCGAGAGGGGAGAGAGAGACAACAGCTCAAAACAGAAATTCACGTCTGGGCCAGGCAAGGAATACGTGTCGGCTCCCTCCCCAGCACAATCACAGCCCATGGCTCCAGCACAGGCATTTCTGCTCCCCAGGGGCTCCATCCTCATGCTGGACTCCCTCTCCGGGCTGGGAGGCTTTCCCTCAAGGTCCTGCTTCCCTGGGAATTGTCCAGCCCTCCAGCCCCAACACCAAAAGCAAACCCAATGCTGGTTATCACAGATCAAGCCGCACAGGGATGGGACACAAGGTTTCCAACAGCGTGGGGCTGGTTGCTCTTTCCAGCAGAGAAAATGGGATTTAAACAATTCCAACCAGCGTCACCATAGCATTTCCGCACATCCCAGCCTGATTCATCTAATTATTCATGACCTTTCTCACCATGAGTCACCAGGACGCCGTTTCGGTCCTGAGACTCCTGCCACACGCCAGAGCCCAGCACGAGGCTGGCGGGGGAGAGCGATGCTGGTCACTCGAGCGGGAGAAGAGCAGCTGTCACCACTGTCAGAAAGTCCCTGGGGATCCTTCCCGCTCGCTGTCTGACAGTCACTGCCACTACCACAGCCAGATTTGGGTTTGCACCCCTGGAGCGTGGGGCCGGGCTGGCAGTGGGCCTTCCATGGGGCTGAAATAACCCTGGGGACCTCGATCCAAGGCAGTGCAGGAGGTCAGCACCGAGTTTCTGGAGAGGCTGCAAAGTATCTCAGATCCTGCACACAGGCACCCGGACACCATCCGTAGAGAGGACAGAGCTACACAACACACTCACGTGTAGAATAAAGACCATTTATTTCATAGCAAGGGGCAATGTAAGAGCTTACATGGTCCCTTGTCACTGCCTGGGCACGAACCCCTCTGCTCCTCCCGCTTTGCCTGCCCAGGTGAGGGGTGCACAGACCCCCTCAACGGGGCCAGGGTACCAGGTGAGCGGTGGGGGCCCTCACCATTGGCAGGAGCACCGAGTGCAGCTGGCGTGCAGGCTGGCAGGAGCTGCCCATACTCCTCTGCCGTGCGAGACCCAGAGAAACTGAGTGCCCCATAGGGTTTTCCTACAATTTCAGCAGATAAGTGATAGAGGAGAAGCTGGTGCCAGCTGCACGTCTTCTGTGCAGCCAGGACGGGCTCTGTCACCAATGCTTTTAGCTGAGTCTCCACATGCACAATCAGAAGCCACATCCATCTTGCTTTGATCCTTCTTTCCCAACCATTCTGACCACTGGGACTTCAAGGAAGAAATAACTTTGCCGGACATTTCCACTCCTTACTGCTTGCCTGGGAGGAAACGGGGTCACCAGCAAAGGTGAGACCAGCCTGCCTGCCTCATGGGGAGTGAGTCGTTTCTAGCTGGATACATCTGCAAAGTTACACATCTCCTCACTGGTGCCCAGGCTTCCATCTCCTCAACGGTCCCCGTGAGCGCAGTGGGTAAATAGGAAGCAGTGGGTTCATCTGGCAAGACGGGCAGGTGTCCAGGTGCTGGCCCACCCCAGCTCCTGCCAGTCTCTCCAGGGCGCATCATTGGGCTCTGCGAGGTCCCTGGTACAGAGTCCCGTGGCTGTGGCATCCTGCCCGGTGAGCCAGCCGTCCCTCATCGCCTCTGCCGCAGCCTCACACGATGCCATTGCGCGTGGGGTGAGTCCGTACCCGGTAGATAATGACAGCGGTGGCTGGGCAGAGCACCAGGGCCGTCATGATGAGGATGGTGGCCAGGATAATCAAGACGATGACCCAAACATCCAGGATGTGCTTGGGGAGGGCGGCAGGACCTGTGGAGTCAGGGAGGTCCATCCTGCAAGGGAGAGGCAGAGGGGTGATGGGGTAGCACC